AAAACGTCTCAAGGTAACAAAAACACAACAATTATTTTATTCAGGTGATTGTACACTAAGACACACTGAATATTATATTACATTGCTGCCAATAGATCCTCCTCAGTGTTACACACTGGAGCTTTAAACAACTACATACTTACATAGAAGTGTTTTAAAATGAAAGGCCGTCGCTAGATTGAGACAAATTACATCCAGAAGAAAACTTTAAAAAAGAGAATCTGGATGACAACCAGTCTCATTATTCAGCCAGTTGCTTCGGTTTCTGATGGAGGTTGTTGACCTAAACTTTATAATTCCACTGAGTGCTGAGAGTGTGCGGGAATACATTACTTTCTTTGGTGACTATATTTGTCATTCTGAAACTACATCCTTGAAATTCCAAGATAAAAATGTCCATCACTTTAGCAGTGAAATGCAACACGATGAAAGGTTTTATTAGAAACACTGTCAGTTACACAACCAGCAGCTGTTTGTTTGTTTGTGTGGCGTACAGGTGACACGGGGAATACCTGTCACTGGAACAATACTGAAAGTGAACGGGCGTAACGGTTTATGAGTCACTAATCTTTATTGTTGTCGTGCAGCGTTAAAATAAATCACTCAATGCGAGAGTTTCCTGTGCAGCTGGAGGTTTAAAAACAAACATCACACACTGGAAATCCCTCAGATTTTATTCAGTCCGGCCCGGGTCGGCTCAGGTCACGTACTAGTGAACGTTGCTGATATACTGACAGTACTTATCAAGCTGCAGACAATCAGAGCTGAACTTTAAGGGGTTTTATATAATCAAAGATGGCAGTAGAAGTACAGATATTTGTGTAAAATGCAGAAGTACTGGGGTTTACACTGCCCTCTAAAGGCTAACCACAGTAACTACGCTAGCAATGAAACTGACGTGAATGAATTGTGTTTTGACCTAAATATGTATGCTCCGAGTCATTTTCATAACTTAAACCAATTATTTGACCTATGACTCCAAAACTGCACTTTGTCTTTGTATTAGCATAAACAGATTTATAGGTAGAGTCTTCTTCCTGAGAAAATCTAATTCATTACATGTCTGTATTTCTTACTGTTTCATGTGGTAAAAGTTGAATTAAGAATTTAAGTATTATTTTATGAGGTTTAAACTCTGACACATGTATTTTAATTAGCACTGTAATAGCTTGTCCTGTCTAGCTAGCTAGCACTAGCACACTAATATGTGAACTATCATCACTATCTGCTCCAATACAGTAGGTTCAGCTAATAATGTATAATAATCCACAGATGGAGTCAGTCAGAGTTCCCAGTGGAGAACATGAAGGTTCCCTTTGTTTTAAATCCAACATTATTCTGATATTCAGAATTTAATGATATACAGACACTGAAGCCGCAGTAACTGGAGCCGAAGCTCAGAGACAGCGAGGGATCGTATAAAAGTACTCTTGGTTTCTCTGAAGGACAACAGTAAAAGTTCAAATTGGGTCGAGTCTCCCTCTCTTCGTCATCTTTTTCATGTTTTGTCTGTCATGCGTGATATTCACAGCTCTTCATGTTGGGAAGGCATCAATAATTCATTACTCTAAAGTAACCTGTCTTTTTAGAAGTACAGATATTTGTGTAAAAATGTAGGTAAAAGTTGTAATAAGTTGTAATACATATTCAAGTTCAGTCTGATGAATCAATATTTAAGAATTTAAGAATTGTCCGAGTATGTTGTGTTGCTTTTGGCTCATTCATTCATTCTTCTGGCACCCAGCTTGGATTTATTGTCTTTTATTTTTCCCTCACACAGAAGGCTTCACAATCAGTTATTCTAACAGCCAGTCTTATGGCGCTATATACAAATATATGAAACAAACTCTGTTAGCTATACAACAATAGCGTAAAGGGGCCTTTACGTAACGTTATCAAGCAGCAGTCAGTAAATGGGTCAGTGAGTGTTGTAATTAATGTCTGAGATTACATCAGGCCTTGTTTTGTAATACATTGTTAAATATGGGAACAATATAACTGATCTTAAAGTATTAAAATCTCACCTGGACTTTATCCTGACAGCAGGTCGGTCTGAACTTCACTAAACCTGATGTGCTTTCTGTCTCTATTTCTTATAATTCACACCCCTTCTCGCTCAGTCTGTGTGCTGTGGTTGTTCCAGACGGGGAAATGAAAGTGCAGGTATGTTCAGTATGTGGAAGCAGGTGACAGGTGACAGGTGACACGTGGGCGGATACATAGATTAAACAGATTAAACAATAAGCCACGTGGCGCAGTAATCAACTGAGCGGCTCGAAGGAACAACAGAGGACTGAAAAAGCAGAACACTTCCGCTTCACTTTCACGTCACGCTTCGTCTTGTTCACGCATGTATCAATAAATAAATCTGAACGTTATCACAGTTTTTAAGAAATGACTAAGCAGCCATCACACACGAGGAGTCAGTCTCTCAACAGATGATCTACCAGCCATAATGGACACAACTCGTACTAGAATGGCTTCACCACCATCTTGTCTTTCTGAGGTGCAAAACTTTATTGAAAAATTTACATAAACACCTTTAATGCCACGGTTTCTACTGTAAATTCTGTGTAAAAGGCCTTAAAGTAGACTTACAGCAGCCCCACACAAACTTCGCCCATTCTCATAAGATAAAATGTTCCTTTATTGATCCCCCGTAGGAGAAATTTAAATCAGACACAGCACCATAGGGGGTAGTGCAATAGAAAATATAAGACTACTGGGTGCTGTAGTTGTGGGGGTTGGTGGTACTGGGTGCTGTGGTTGGAAGTACTGGGTGCTGTGG